TCATTTTTTTTTTGTGAAATTTGACGTTAATAAAATGTTACCAGGAGCATATCATTCCACAGTCATTTTTCTCCCCCAAAGTATTGGTTCAGTAGGGGTGACACTTGTATTGTCCAGTGTGTGTACATCAGAGTAAGAAGTGCACCACGAGCTTCAAATTTTATTTTTAACAAAATGTACCCGCTATTTTTATTTCTCCTCAGGTGTGGATGTTTGTCTACTTATTTGTCACCATAGTTTATTACGCTGCAGACGCCGTCAGCACCGTGAAATCATTCCGGACGCCAATGAGCAACGGGTCTCTCATCACCGCTAACCTGAGCGATAAGGAAAGGCTTTACATAACCACGCGAGAACATGGCGTTACCGAATGTATCCGTTACATCACCACCATCTATTATACGCTAGATATTATACTGAGGATGCTTGCTGCACGGAGCTTCAAGCTTTATTTCAGATCCGTGCTGAATATAATTGATTTAATTTGGGTGTTGACAACCTGGTCTTTATTTGCTTCGTACATGATAATGGGCAGCCAGTTACCACATTTGTCGTTCCTGGAGTTTAAAATTCTGTATTTCATGTCCTACGCCAGTCTGGCCCTGCGCATATTCCGTATCTACCGTTTCAGTCTACAGTACACTCCACTCAAAATTTTGGTCCTCACTCTGAAAGGAAGCAGCACCGAGATATGCATCCTGCTTCTGTTGCTATGCGGGGGTACCATGGTTTTCGGTTCTCTGATTTACATATCGGAGATAAGCAACGACGATTCGTTCATGGACAATGCTCTGATTGGCTATTGGTGGGCCGTGGTTACCATGACGACCGTCGGCTATGGCGACACCTATCCTAAAGACGCGGCAGGCTATCTCGTCGGTATCGTCTGCGTGATCGTCGGTGTGGGATTCATAGGTCTCCCCATGTCAGTGATCAGCGCCAACTACAGTAAATATCGCTCCTTCGCTTGCACACTGGAAGCCAGGAACAGATGCAAACTGAAATATCTGAAAATGGCGCCAACGATCCCCTCCACCGATTCACGCAAGCTGCCGAAGAGCTTTAAAATGTCAGAAAAATAAAAATTAGACAATTTACACTATCGGATATAAATTTGTTACATCTTTGTGGATAATGGTTATTTAGTTATTTATTCTGGCACAATTTACGTTCTACCATTATTAAGTCAGTTCAAAATCACAGTGTACTGTGGAAACGCAAAGTTTTACATGTACGTACAGGGTGTGCAAAGTTGTGTGTGAAATGCCGCACATATTGGATTTGTTTCAATTGATATCAGTGTTTTGTATCCATTGTTTTTTAAGACGCGTTTTAAGTGCTATCTCCATGCATTATTTATATGAATTGATATTCAATATTTAAAGAGATGAATCATGAGTTCACTTGTACATGTAAACTGCATAATATTGGCTTGGTCCAAGGAAACAGTTCCTTCTCTTTCAGAAAGCCAGAATAAAATAATTAACAGGGCAAATAAAAAAAAAACAGGCAAAATCCCCATACCTAGCCCAACAGTGAAGTCTTCCTCGTCTTTATTTCGATTACATTTATTTCATATTGGCCGAGTGGTATCTAAGTAAGGTTGTCATTCCTGTGACCCGCCCACCCAACCTTAACAAAATCCTTGATCAGCCAGTGCGTAATACGATAAGATATATTTTGTTTCATTAAAATGCCATTAATTAAACCAAGGTTCAAAGTACAGGACGCAGAGGTGACGACATCAGATTTTAACGGTTTAGGTCCAAGACTGTTACTGCATGCGCACATTGTATATCTGTAAAATTTTAATTATGAATCAAACAGTTCAGGAATTTAGCTGTATTTTTTAAACCTTGTGTAAACATAAGTATGATCTTCACTTTATATGATCGCAGGCATTTGCGAAATGTTGAATTTAATGTGCAGCTGTATCTCGTTTTTCTGTACGAGAGAAAACATTTCAACGTGAGGCAACTATGTATATAAACATGTTAGCTGGTGTAAAACCTTTCTAATAGCTTATTGTTACGTACTGTATGTTAAGGTTTACGTATGAATTTTAAAAACGTGAATGCATTTCTTTTGAGAGAAGCAATATACAGCATATTCACAGATTGACAGTGCATTATAAATGGAAATAAACATCTATGGTTTTTGCTATGCCGTTTTGACTGTTTGTTTTTCCACTCGGATGTCCCTCTTTCGACGTGCAGACTTAATAAAATTAGTATATGAAAATCATCTTTATGAGAAATGCTACATTATTTTCTGAAAACAAGAAGAAAACATTTTAATATTTATATACTATGAAGTTACTTTATCTACACCAGCGGTGTTACTGACCATACAGGATTTAAAAAGAGATAATATCACCAAAGACAGCTGTTGCCACAATTGTTATCATTTGACAATGATGACATATTGTTGGTGTTCGTTAAGAGAAACAGTGTACCAACGATGTTTTCATAATTATGTGAATATTTCATAGACATCATACTAGTACATATATTTACATTCATATTTAAGTTATTTCGGTAAACGCTAAATGCAAATATTCGCATGCATATACATACATATTTACATGCATTTTGCAGAAGAAATTATATGCCCCCCCTACACTGACTCTACATAATTGACGTGTTTTGAGTTTGGTAGTCGTAGTTCACATGATCCCATGTCCCAAGAATAATCTGAGGTAATGGATCCACAGTCAATCTGCTCAAAAGGTGCATTGATGACATGAGAATAGACTGCTTTTTCAGTTTCGGTGCAATAACCAAAGCCATCATGCACATGGGTTTGGCTTAGTCAAGTGAAAGAGTTGGGACAATATAAAATTACCGCTAAAACCCCGAACAATAATCATTTTAACCATACACGTGTCACAGTCGCCCACGCCATCTGTTCGGCAATAAAATCTCGACAGACATAAACGTACTGTCGACCGAGGAGCGACGAGAATTTCAAGTAAAGGCGGACATCATAATTCTTTACCTGATAAATGACTTATGTGCAACATATGGTGACAACGCCTGGCTCAGGTGTTCCATACAGAGCTCGTATTCAAACGACTCCTGGAGAGATCTTAAATTACTACTGCCTACATCGTATCCGTGCCTTTGAATTAGCCATAAGATCAAAAAAGAATGGTAAGTGTAACGATTTGGATGTTTCTCGTGTTGACATTACACGGACGTGTTTCTGGTGACAAACCATTTAAGAAAACACCGGGGAAACCAAGGATAAAGACAAATAATGTCCACCACGTATACCGACCGTATATAAATGGTGAAGTGTTAAATGTTACTAAAGTTCAGCACTTGGAGGGGATCAATCGCCACCATCCGCCTTTCAATGAACGCCGCATTCAAGCCAATTCTCTTAATAGGCATTCTGTGCAACGTGGAGGAAAGTCTCTACAGTCTAATAAAGGCATGGAAATTGTTTCTAAAGTGGACACAGAGAACGCGCAAAAGGACGTCGCCTACCACAGGGATAAAGAGCCGGACATCCCTCTTGATGACCAGTCACGTAGAAAGCCACAGCTACCGGGCTGGCTTAAAAGCCTTGGGGCCTCTGCGAGTGAGGGACGGTTTCCGTCAGCGGGTGAAATAAATGGGTATAACATTGCCCCCAATGGCAGAAAACATGACGGTAAAATCGTTGTCTCGCTGCCGAAGCCGAAGGAGATGAACCAGAATAAGGTCGCTTATTCCAATGGAATAAAGCAAACAAAAACCCTGCAGAGGCATAAACCAAAAATGAAAAATGACTACTTATCACATTTATCCCCTGAATTGGAACTGATGCCAATGGTTTTAGAGGCAGACCAGCCAATGCACCAAAATAGTAAGAACAGCGGTCAAATCCAGGAACCAAATAACAACCCCGACAGCTCTGTACAAAGACAGGCTCATCAAATACACCAGAAAAGAAAAGAAAATCGACCATCAAGCAACACAAGAAATAATCCTAAGACGATGGGAAATTTTCAGCCAGAAGCCAAGAAAGTTAACAAAGAATTGCCATCAAACCAAGGCATTTATCACGAAAAACGTATCTCGACGGCTTATGGGATAGAGGCCCCGGATTCAACGGATAAACCGATGGGAACAGTCGTGGAGGAATTCACAAATGAACAGCCAGGGTTGACACCGGATTTAAAAGTCGGTGGCGAGGAATACGATCGGATATTGCTAAGCAACAAACAGACAAAAGAGAGTGTACCGGATGATGAGGACGAGAAACATGTCGAAAAAAGTAAGTCTATTTTATTTGAATTAACAAGTAGTGTGGGAATCATGGTTTAGAGCACTTCTATAGACCTAATAAGTATTGTAATATGTAGATTTTTAAATTAAGTTAAAACTAGCAAAGGCAATACAATATCGACTGTACAATATCATACCGCGCCGCAGCTTTGCTTCGTCCCGGAATATACATATAGCATACTGGTAATTTGACCTCTTGCTTATCTATTTACATGTATTGTCTGCGGAAGCTGTTACGTCAACATATGTGTCAGATATATCCTTTTAAAAGATGCTTCAATAAAGTGTTAATGAAAAAAATAAAATAATGCAAATTAATAATCGCATATTCTTGAGCGTGCAACAATTGTTCTTATGCTCATTATTTCAGATTTGCCACTCTCAAAGAAATATGCCCAGGCAGTGCATAATAACCAAGGAATCCAAAGGCAATATCAATCAGAGACTGACGAGTCTCGTGGGTATCTCCCCTCACAGGGCAATCCTCCAGAGAAACCTCGGGGTATTCAAAATGCTTTCCTTGGAGATGAGAAGATGCCAGTTGATTTTCGGGGCGATCCTGACGTTTCCCCTGATTCTCTCCCACACGCCCGGCCTCATGACCGAGGGAATTATGAGCAAAGACGAGAACAACTATCGCCGCACCCCATTTCTCCCGATCTCCACCCACCGAACATGGGGAGGTCCCTACAAGTTGGCACAGGTCAGGTTCCTGGACATTTTGGAGGAGGACGATCAATTCCTAATGCCGATCGCTCACCACCAAAGCCTGATTATGAAGAACTAAAACGAAAAATGATCAACGAATTGAAATTCCCACAGGCAATTAACCGTGGGCCAAGTGCATTTCTGTTTCGTCCGCATCTCTTGCCGAAAGACCCAACCCCACTGCAACCACCACCACCACCAGCAACAGCAGCAGCAGCAGCACTAGCACCACCACCACCACCACCACCACCAGCAGCAGCAGCAGCAGCAGAAGCGCACCCAAACCTCGATAACATAATCGTCGGAAACCGAGACCTTCCCAATCCCCTGCTGTACCAAAACCCATATTTGCCGCTTGCACAACCTTACACAATAGACGAACCAGGTGAACCTAATTTTGGTGTTAGAAGAAGAAATTTGGAAGCGCCGTGGTCAGGCGACGCGCCGTCTCCTTTAATTCAACCGGTACTTAATGATTTCGAAGGCAGACACCATAAGCAATTGCGTCATCCATCATCTCATTTTGATCAGCCACATCCTAATAACGCAGATGACTTGGTAATACCTCCCACTGTGAACGAGAGGAGGGCGCCAAATATGCCATTGCCACATCCGGTACCACCTCCCCCACCACACGAGCGTCCCCAGGTGGTCAAACCTAATGACATAAAGAGGAGACTGAATCCCAACAGCAACAGAGATCGCAAACCCTGGGTACACCCATACCCTCCACATGGCCCTGTAGAAGGCCCCAATGACGTCAGTGCCAGACCTTACCTTGTTGGCGCGCTCAGATCGCCGCATTTCAGGACAGAACTGATTGATGAATCTGTACCACTGCACGACCAGTCTTATCTGCCGAATGTTCCCGAAGATCGTGGGAAACCTGTCGCCACCTGGGGACCGGTTGAAAAGTCTCGGGACATGTCTCAAGGGACCGAAAGCCTGGGATCTCGCCCAAAGTCAGTTGTCACTAAGGAGGACGAGCTTAAAGGAAACGGTGAGTTGGACATATTCCAAGATTTTTTTTCAAAAAGCTTTATTAGACTTGTTAATACAGCATGTAAAGTCAACATAATGCAAGGAAAAAAAGCAATGAAGAAAAAAAAAAGAAAAATACAAACGCAAATCCGCTTAATTGAAAATACATCTTTTATACAAAGATCCAGGATGGCTTCTGACAGAAAACGACAAAAACTTTTTGGAACCCAGTGCCGAGACAGACTTCTCCAATTGGCAACAGAGTTCAAATGTGGAAGAAGAGGAAGAAGAGTTGCCGAGGACTTACAAGGAACCTAAGGACTTGTCACACGGCGCCACAAGTGTGAGAAACATTTCTCCAGCAAGGGATATGCTGCCCATGGCCCACACGCAGGATATGTCCTACTGTCAGGCATATGGCAAGGGAACCTATATGGAGAATTTATGCCGAAAGTGTGCTTTGCATGGGGCTATCACTGGATGTAAGTATTGGTCATATACAGGCCCGTAGCCAGCAATTTTAAAAGGGGGGTTCTTTGTCTGAAAAAGTGGACCCTTTTCCATAAAAGCTTCATGTACCTAGATCAAATTTTACCCAGAGTGGACCTTTTCCCAACAAAAGGGGTGGTTCTTTCGAACCCCCCCCCCCCAACCCACCTGGCTACGGGCCTGGTATAGTACTAGTAGGACCAGTTGTGGTAGTATTACTTAGTAGTATGACTTAGTAGTAGTAGTAGTAACAGTAGTGAGGGAGCAGAAGGAAATGCACACACACACACACAGAGAGAGAGAGAGAGAGAGAGAGAGAGATATGCATATAGAAACAACGGACTCATACCTTAACACAATAAATATTTCGTGATAATTTTTTAGTAGAGAAAGAGATTTCAATGTGTTGACAGAGATGCCGATCCATTTTTTCTTACCTCCAAATTTTACGAGGACAAATAGCAAATAATGCAATTTTTGTCGCTTTTGCAAGTCTTATACAATGAAATGGCGATTCATCCAATTTCGAAAGCATTTCTAACAAAAAGTTGATACAAACAACGCGGCACATGTACATTTTGAATGCACTCACAGAGGACCAATTAACGTTATCATATTTTCTTTCCAGTTTCGTGCCCAAAATCAACGATGATAAACAGGAAAGGCGAGGTGTTTCCTCACAGAGACCCGTTGTGTTTCTGGACGTGTTCATTTATGGGGGAAGCAGTGGCAAGACCCTGTCCGCAGGGTCAACACTTTGACCAGTACACTGGACTGTGCACAAGACACAACTAACGAGAATGGCACGGCCTTCTAAGTTTTTTGATCTTGTTATACAGTACGCACTCTTAATGTGTGTCTAACCTGTCTCTTTTTCTAGTATTATTATCAATACTATTTAAATTAATTTATATCGGACTTAACGTAAAGAAGAAAATTATTATTGAAAAATGTCACTTACGGTTAATAAAGAATGAGAACATGGAACTGAATGATAACGTTGCTATTAATGAATTAAAATAAGGTACACGTAGAATGAATGTACATGTAGTTTTTATTAGCCATAAGATGGGTACCGGTACCCTGTAGTAAACGAAGCTCAGGAGCAAAGAGTATAATTTTTTTCACAGAATGTTAAAAATGATAATAGTGATGTTAATAATAATAATAATAAATCCAGCCGTCAATACTCAAAGCAATAATCCAATACTCGAACGTATTTTTTACCGGTTTATAACTAACGCCCGGTGACACCCCCCCCACCCCGGCCCCCTTCCTACGGGAAATTCTGGATTTGATAGTCTGATGCCTTTGGGGCTATAACGGAAACAGACAAATATTTCAAAGTTGGATCTTAAAAAACTCCTTGTTACTGTAGAGCAAGCTGTTTAATGTGATCTAAGCGTTCGTTCATCTTCAGAAGGTCTAGCCCGCTCAGGGTGCTGCTGTCTGTTTGCACTCGTTTGAGCTTATCACATATTCCATTGAGAGTGTACTCCGTGAACTTGTACTGTTGCTGGTCGAGTTGATTCTTCGACAGCAGGCGCTTTATCATTTTCTCCTCTTCCTTAAGAGAGGCGAGGACTGAGGACGTGGCCGCCTTTTGGTTTTCAAAATAGATCATCAAAGATTGAAGACTGTCGTCTGCCGGGGGTATGACGTCATCAGGGGTTTGGTCGCCATGTTGTAGAGTTAAAATGTCTGCCGTCTGTTCCATTCTTGACGGTTGTAGCGAAGCATCAGTATTTTCCTGATTGGAAAACTGCAGTACTTTCATTTTTTCATCTTTAAAATTTTCCAGCTCATCTTCAACATCATGAGGTAAATTCCGTTCTAAGGCAGTATTGGGCTGCACGGCGGTTGTTTCAGATGGGCTGTGTTCTTCTAAAAGGCTCGCAAGCCACCCATGCATCGTCACCTTCAAAACACGAATAAATTTCCTAAATGTTATTGGTCCAGAGTGCTTAGTAATATCCAGGATCTTTGCCAGTTGCTCTTCATTTGTTTTCTTGGACTAAAAACAAAAGATGCAAGAAAGATTATATGATAAAATTTGCCTATTTTGCTATAGGCCTATATAAGAATGAACACTCTTGAACAATTGGTCGACTTGTAAATAGAAAGTTTTAAAAATTAGGCAAGAAGAAATTAATACATGCAGGCAAATACTTTGCCTTCCTTTAGTCTATAATATATTGCATTTCCTTTTGCTAAGTAAAAAAAAAAAAGCAAGGCCTTCTCACCCCTACTCTAACACCCTCACTCTACCAGTAGTTAATTCTCTCCCAACAGCCGATGTTTAAAGATAAGGATTGTATCTGTAATATCCCCAAGAGCATCATGTAAAATATTAAGAGTTCGAAACCTTTATGATATCCATCATGGCCGGCGAAAGCAACTTTTCTTGCACCATTGCGTCCAGAACAGACTTGGACAACACGAGGTTACGCATCAAGGTGTCCTCGTGTGCCTCTATTGACAGTCGGACATTGACGTCATCGGTCATGGTCGCAGCTTTATCACTGTAATACAGTTATTGTAACATATAAAAATTACGCATATTGAATGTCCACTTTCACTGTAGATTAAACAGGTCACCGAATTTTTTTGCTAAAAGTAACATTTTCCACTGCGATGTGTATCTTCAGAAAAAAAGAGAAAGCTTACTGACAAAACTGGAGATGATGTTGGGGTCTATTTCACACTCTAATAGATATAAACGTTCATATATATGTAACCCGGTTGGTTACTTAGTTCTGAGCGAGTAGCAAACTTGAAAACACAGAAGACCTTAATTGTAGCTCACGTAGATCTTTATTCACCGACGGGCTACAAACTGGCACTCAGGCAAGGACTGTCACGACGATCTCCCGGGGTCTCTCTCTTTCTATCTTAGAGGCCCAGTTTTTATAGGGAATCGTACTGATTCCTGCGTGCCGTAAACTATTAGTAAGCGTAAATAACTGTATCCTATCTAAACAGTCGATCATTAAAACTAGATACAGGGACTCCGATACTTGTTACCGTTGCCCTGCATATGGATATATTCTCTGGGTTGGAAGGTTACATAACGCTCGGACCTGGGACTGTCTTCAACGAAATTATCCCGACTTGTTTTTGGTGGAAGAGATCAAAAGAGCCAAAAGGAAATAATGAGGCTTAAGCCTCTCTTACAACCCGTCGTGCGTGCTTAGAGATCGTGCGTCCTCGGAATTCTTCTCAGACGTAGCGTTGTCGCAGGATGAAAATTAAATCGCAGCGGACGAAGTAGTAAGTACTTTATGAGTAGGTGTGTTGTGCTGTAAACGTGGGGCCCGCAAGTGGTCTGTACGCCTTTTTTTGGAAGTAGGAAGAAGTAAGGAGCACGTACGATCTGTACTTGTGTCGCACATAGTGAGTGAGATAATCATACGTGTATTGCAAGTGAAGCGTACGTTTTCAGAAATCGTACTTACGAAGTAAGAGAAACGTAAGAGAAACGTAATAAGCACGGAAGTGGAACGCACGGATAATCAAAATAATATAAAAGGGAGCACCGAGTCTCTTCATCATTCACTGGCTTGGCTTGCAAAATGGCACTTCCAAGAAGGATGCGCCATCGACTTCTACAGCTGCTAATGTAAGAGGAGGCCGAAGATCGTGACGCAATGCTTGCAGTGGTTGCTCGGGATCGCCTGCACTTTTATCGTGCTGGGCACGCGCGTCGTCTTAGTGTGACGCACTTCACAAGTATGGTAGTAGTACTCGCCACGCACTTTGGAAATGAGATAAACGCACGGAGGAAGTGCGCTCACCCCCCTTTTCGTTAACACGTACATTGAAAGCAAATTGAACGTACGAGTCTCTTGCGTGGTAAGTACGTCTTCGTGGTAAAATACCCCGGAATTTCTGCATGCTTTTCCGGCGTTACACGCACGCCTAGCGCACTTACTCAGTACTTTTGTCTTGCGTGCTACGAGCGTGCTCCAGGCGTTCTAATTGTCGCAGACAGGTCGTAGCGAAAAACTGGCCAGCCAGTTTTCGGGCTGCGTGCTTTGCGTCGTGTTTGTGTCCACCAAAAACAGTAGGTTCCACGTGCGTGTGTCTTACTACTTGGCCAATTCTTTGCACGCAAACCGCTCGTAGAAGCACGCACGACTTGTTGTAAGAGTAGCTTTAAGTACCTCTACGATTTTAGGATCGTCACCGGGTCTCCCTTTTCTGTCATCCGAAAGGGGTGTACCTTCAATTATCTAAATTAATTACTTTACCGGGACTTTTGTTTCTAATTTTGGTTTCTCTTCCGTGATTGTGAATGTGATTTAAAGATAGAGACAAATTGTATAACACTACCGTGTTATATATACATTTAATGCACTGTGACCCAGATGAAGTACGTAGTGGAGTATGGTGAAATAATGAAGTTATGTACTGTTCTATGACACAAAATACGCGTCTTACAAATCACCCAGCTTACTATACACTGTGAGACTTTTATGAATATATTGTGCACTGACGTAGACAAAGAACTTTATCTAATGATAATAATAATAATAATAATAACCAATGTTATAGACATACCATTTTGAGAAACCTCCCTAGTGTTCAAGTACGTACACACTGTAGGTCTCTAAAGTAACTTCTCTTGCCTAGGTATAGGTAAAACGAACTCCTACAATCAATCAAATTCACTGGAGTTTGTTAACATTAATCTGTTTACATCCGAGATAAATTGCGCCTTAATCACATTTATCTTCCGTTAATCTTCATTAATCCACCAAAGGCAATGCAACGGTAACGTCGTTACAAATCAATGTTTGATAAGTTTATATGTATGAAATTCAAAGCGTTCTCCATGACACAGTTTTGATAGTGCACGTATAGCGTCACCCCAAAAGTGCATATTGGCGTAGGAGCGGAGGGAGGGGCGTTACTCTCCACCCTTACAAACTTTGAATCACGTCGGTCATTAGCGCAGAAAAAGGAATAAAGGAAATCGACCCTTTCATCAATATAGGCATTTTTTCTGAAGGCCTTGTCCATTTTTTTTTTTTTGAACAAGCCTACAGTTAAGTTTCTTTGTGATTGATGAAATAAAAAGAAGTCTTTGGTCACAAAGTGTATGTGCGTAGTATTTCTAAGGCAAATAGTGGCCGTCTTGGATTCTGTGAAAAAAAAAATTAATGACAAAAGATGCATATTATTAAAGTGGAATTAGCTTTAATACAAGAGGAAGGACATTAAACGTTTTTCAGATTGCAGCATATAAACAGTGTTGATTATCTTTTTCATAGATTTTTGCAATTTCTTAATACTCGTATAAACACAGAATATTGGTAAATAAAACCATGTTAATGCCTTGATAGATAGAGGGCTGAATACAAACAAAATGTACAGAACTGTCAAGACTTATACTGATGTGCAAATCTTTACGCTGTTGAAACACATGCGCTACCAGTGCTATCATTTGGAGTCAGCAAAGAAATGGTATCCGGCAAAAGAATTGGCTTGTCAATTCGCGTGATTCCTAAGTAATCGCAAAAGAAGTTTGCCTCTGATAACACCTCAGGAGTCCACTCTATTAGATATTTGCTCCTGCCTTTTATGCATTTCCTAGATCGAAGCATGCCTCGCTGGGAATCGTGTTTCAGAGCGTTGCAGGCAGCCTCAGTGTATTCCAGAGGTAAGCCGCAGTATTCCAGCAACCTCTCACAGGCATGTTGTGGGTTCTCAAGAATATTCTCATACTTAAAAGCCTTGATATCCATACCTGCTTCCTTAAGGCGGATATAAGTGTGACACTGCACTGCCCAATGACACGCCATCATGCCAACCAAAGAGGTCCTAATAATCAGTTCTGGATCATGAAGCCAAGGGATATCAGGAATCATAAACATTCTCCAAAAAAATTTAGCTTGGTTTTTCAGGAAACGATGAGCAAGGCGTTTTGTCTGCAACCAATAAAAAAATTTGACTTTAGGCAAAAATCCAAAAGCATGATAAAATGACTGTATGGTTTCTTTGCCGTTTCGGTAAAGAAACAGAAATGTTATGTCCGGAAAAAGCCGCAACGCTCTATCTGCGTAGTTGATATCCACGGACCTGGTCTTTATACAAATCAATTGCAAGTCGCAATTGAATGATTTGCAGGTGACTCGAACTACACTCTGTATTAACCTATCCAAATCCTTACTGGATATTTTTTTCATCAGCATAGTTATATTTGTGAAGCCATCTGGTTCGTTAATGGAAACAACCCTTGGGACCGATTCGAGCATTTGAGTGACTGCCGTTGATCCACATCGCCCAGTGTTCAACAGCAGAAGGACTTTAAACTTTGGATCGCCGATTTCGTCAGCAATTCTGTGAAATGATGAAATTGGCATGACAATTAAACGAAGAGCATGTTCGAATTGTGCACAAAATGTAAATGGGTTCACGTCGGAGCTAAATATGTTCACGGAAGAAGGCGCCTGTGCAAAGTAAGCCTCGTTTTCATCCAGGTATATAAACGTTATATCTTGTGACACTACACATCGCGGGTGGGCAAAGTAACTGTGGGTGGCAATAAATTGTATAGGATCGGTCGGCGTAAGGCAATCCCACTTATACCTCCAGACGATGTTCCTGACTTGGGCAGATTTTTCGTATAATTGGCCATCTCTTAGTTGACGAATTGTGTTAGCGGTGCCGGTGATTCTCCACCACAATAGTTGGACATTGACAAATTTTAACTGTAAAAGACATCATAGGAAGCTTACGTAAGATTTGCTGTGACAAAATAATTTTTAAAGTAATGATAAAATAAAACTTTGATGACGTTTGGAGAACTAAACGACATCTTTATCGCTATGCATAGTATACAGTATACATGTACAAAAATGGTCAAAAAGGTTGTCCCACCTTCAGTATCATGTGATTTAATTTATAAATGATCACATCACAGGTGTAGATTTTATAAATAGTGATTTTCATTCCAGATACCATAACTAACATGCTTAGTGATACAGAAAATACAAACTAGTGGTGAAGATATCAATATTTAATACCATTTATTCACATTTATTACATGTACCCCCTCAAATCCAACGTTTCACTGTGATTTTCACAGAGGTAAAGAAATGTCCATTAAATTGAAATACCACCACCAAATGTCACCAAATTGACACACATTTAGCATTAAGGTGTGCTCGTTAAAGGCTTCTTGTCTAATAGCGTTTGTGTTCACCGCGTACTGTAATTACCTCCTGTAGGTGGCGGGCCCTGCCTTCAACAAGGGTAACAATTCTGTTTTATGGGATATTGTCCCATTATTCCTAAAGAGCTTGGTCCAGATTATTAGGAGTTTGGTTTTCCTATGCATTGCACACTTCAATTCATGCCACATATGTTAAGTAAGGTTAATAACATGGCTCATAGGTGGGTGCTCTATCCTCTGAACGTTGGGTTTGTGCAACAAATCACTCAGCAGACGAGAGTTGTGAGCACGTGCATTTCCACGATGACGCCTGCAGTGTCCCTGAAGTCACCTCTTGCAAATAGAGTGAGATATTTGTTGAGAAGGTTTCACTGAATTGCCCCAATGCCGTTCTTTTCCGGAAAAAACAATGCACTAAAACCATGGGCTTGGAATTCTCTCCAAACGTGGACAGACCTGACACCTCAGGCGATACCATCCTGTACAAACCTTCCAAAAACATTCTGCAACATGTCTACGGGTCCAAATTTGACCATCGAAGCCATACAAGAAAGGCCTTGATTCTTCAACAAAACCAACTTGTTCCTAGTGATGGTTGACCAAGTTCTCGTAGTTATGGGGTCACTGAACCTAACATTCTCAACTGATACCTCATTCCATCTGCAAGAGGGGACTTCGGGGCTGACCCATTCTTCACCATGACTGCACACTTGCACACAGTTGTCATGTGGTGAGTGATTTGTTGCAGAAACCCAATGTTCTGAGGGTGGAGAACCATCTTTGAATCCTGATAATAAACCTACTGAGCATGAATTGAAGTGTGCAATCCAGAGGATAACCAAACCCCAACTAGTCCGGACCAATTCCGCCAAGCTTTTTAGGAAACATGAGGCAAAATGCCACAAAACAGAATTGTAACCCTTGTTGAAGCTGGGGCGCCGTCTACAGGAGATAATTCTGGTGCACGGTAACCACACAGGCACATGACACATGACCTTTAACGAGCGCACCCTAATGCTAAATGTGTGTAAATTTAGTTACTTTTGGTGGTTTCATTTCAATTTAATGGGCATTTCTTTACCTCCGTGGAAATAATAGTGGAACATCGGATTTGAAGGGGTACATGTAATAAATGTGAATAAATGGTATTAAATATGGATCTCGTAACTGTTAGTCTGTATTTTCTGTACCAATAATCATGTTAGTTATGGTATCTGGAAATAAAATCACCATTCATAGCAATTAACTCTTGTGATGTGATCATTTATAAATAAAAGCACATGAAACTGGGGGTGGGGCAACCTTTTTGACCAATGTTGTATATACAAACTTGACATTGAATATGGAATATTTCAGTTTTAAAGGTATAACTAGGTTAAAATGCGTTATTAAATAAAAACTCAGATCTCACATAAGATATCTGTCTGGAGAAGTATGAAGTCTAGTGTGTCGCTACCAATTAACTGACTACCAAATCTGTTGCACTGTTGCATTGTGTAATATGCAGTGATTTAATATTGGATAGTGCTCCTTTGGGCTGGTCAAAGCTTGGCTTTGATGAAGAACTGTTCTTTCAAAAAAGTATTCATATGTCGGCAACTACTGAATTGCAGAATTTGAAATTTCGCATGCAGTGCGTAAAATGAGTTAAGCAATATGTTTTATAAAATTATTAAGCTGTGTCAGAAAGGCGCAAAAATGACAGACATTGCCCAGCCTAGACTGATGCACCTACCCAGAGACCACGCCCAATGTATCGACATCTTACCACCAGGGTACAGGACTCACTGTCCTTCAGGATATGCTGCTGCANCATGTAATAAATGGAAAAAAGGGTATTAAACAAAAGCACATGAACCCGGGGGGGGGGGGGGGGGCAACCTTCTTTACCAATGTTGATTATACAAACTTGACGTTAAATATGGAATATTTCAGTTTTAAAGGTATACCTAGGTTAAAATGCGTTATTAAATAAAAACTCAGATCTCACATAAGATATCTGACTGGAGAAGTATGAAGTCTGGTATGTCGCTACCAATTAACTGACTACCAAATCTGTTGCACTGTTGTATTGTGTAATATGCATTGATTTAATTGGATAGTGCTCCTTTGGGCTGGTCAAAGCTGGGCTTTGATGAAGCATGGTTCTTTCAAAAAAGTATTCATATGTCGGCAACTACTGAATTGCAGAATTTGAAATTTCGCATGCAGTGCGTAAAATGAGTTAAGCAGTGTTTTATAAAATTATTAAGCTGTGTCAGAATGGCCCGAAAATGACAGACATTGCCCAGCCCAGACTGATGCACCTACCCAGAGACCACGCCCAATGTATCGACATCTTACCACCAGGGTACAGGACTCACTGTCCTTCAGGATATGCTGCTGCAATTAAACCAAAACCACCCAGTCCGTTTTGAATGAGGGGCAAATTGTAACCAAAACGCGTT